GGAGGTGTAAAGGAGTGAATGGAGGAAGTGAAGAAGGGAGATAAGGCTCAAAAAGAGGGGGGGGGAGTTCCCCTTCAAACAGTTTTATAATAAGAGTAATTACCATTAAAAAAGGTAAAAGGATCTAAAAGCTGGACTTTAAATCCTGCTTAAAAGAAGGGGGTGGTAAAAATGCCTTTTGGTTGAGGGAGAATTGGTCTCATTTCCATAAGTGATGACCAGGCAGGACACTTGAGGACACGCAGGTACATCATAAATTTAAAGGGCTATGCCTCATTAAAGTAACACCTGTGTGGCTTGCATGTTCTACATGATATGTTTATTACTCTCTTTTTTATATATCTGCTGCACTGCGTTATCTCCTCTGGCTCATTCTCAGTACAGTGTGTGCCTCTGGGAGTGATGCTAGAAAGCTCTGTTGGTCAATTATATATATTATTTTTTTTTATATAGATAAAAGGATATATACTTTAGATTTTAAGAATTGAAGAACTTTTCTTTGGAAAAGGGTTGATAGAAGTTTGAAAGTCCAAATGCATCATGGGGTTATTAGATTAGCATTCATTACCACTCTATGAGAGATAATTAGCAGTTACACCTGTCTTAGCCTCCTTAACATATGATTTTGTAACATTTCAAAAGTAAGAACGATGGTGGAATTGCAAGGCGAGACACAGGACATCAGCCGTTCATTGCTAACCTATAGGTACTTCGGTTATGAAGGGCAGTGTGTGGAGGAAGTTTGAACTTTGTGTGTAAAAATTTGAGTGTTTTAGAAACGTAACAGGTCATATAAGATATATTTTTCTTTTTTTTCCTTTTTTTCATTGTATTGTGTTTTGCGCTTGAAAAGGACCATGTACTCGCCTTCCTCTCCAACTGTTCATAGTGAAAGGCAGGTTTGTTACATATTTTGCTGTGATACTATATGTTGGTGTATATGTATATATAGATATTTGTATATGGTACATGTATATACATACACAGAAGGTTTACTTTATTTTCTTTGGATGTTCTACAAGTTTTTTTTCTGCACTTGGTTAAATTTGAAAAAGACAATAAATATACTTTTTACCATATTCAAATAAAAGGTAAAACCCAACAGCTAATGCTGATAATTATAGTTCTCAAGAAAAGAAAATATCGCCCCACAGTTTTTGGTATCAGCATTTGTAATTGTTTTAATTACAACCTTTATGAACATTTTATTACTAGTTTCTGATAAGTAATTAGGCTTGATTAGTTGTTAATGCCCAATGTCTTTAACCTGCTGGATCTGGGTACCTCACAGAGTGTATTAGACCGAACTCTAAGCTTTAGACTTTTTTAGGTGGCAACTTTCCCTGGTGTGTGGTATATACACCTGGCTCACATGAACACTCGTGTGGTTTGAAAACCTTACTTCCTCTTTGTAATGCTATTATCCCTTTTCTGCAAATGCAATTTTGCTGTTTGCCCTATATTGGTATTTGTATTGCTGTATCAAGATAACAATTCTGTTTTCCACGAGCAGACACATTATCTCTTCAAGTAGTTTACCCTCTGTGCAGAAACGGTACAAACAAATATCATTATTTTAAGTTGCGCTGTTTATATTTTCCAATCATTCAATTTTCTGTAATATTCAACACTGCCAGCAACCATGGGCAGGAATAGGTTCTTGTATGTGGACATAGTTTAGATAGTTAATGGCTGGAAAAAACTATCCTCAGCCAGATGTCCCTGTCACCTAATGAGGTATTCAGTTAATGAAAGTAGTCAATAATTATGGTAAGTGGATTTCATTAGAAAATTCTGTCTGTGGAAAGACACAAAAATTATTAGATATGGATTATGCAAGACCTTGACCTCATGACAAAGAAATTTTTAACCCACTATGCCGGTATATTTTGAAACCGAAAATAATATTTTTCGGGCTGCTACAAAATCACGGCCCGCTGCGTATTTTGTAGCGCGTGCTCTGATCCAATGTCACAGTGGTGGAACGCCTAACAATGTTTATTTTTCATGGTGTCTCATATATGGGACACCCATCGCAAATGGGTTAAAATGTAGTTTGGTACAGCTATTACCCACCTCTTTGCACCTGGGTTTTTATATGGCTAATAGCAGGGCTCTCAAGAAGTAACCCCAGCCACTGGGACCTGGGCTCATAATGTGATTAAACGTCATTTTAGAGCAGCAATATTAACCCACTTACGATGGGTGTACCACATATGAGACTTCCAGAAAAGTAAACATTGCTGGGTGTCCCGCTGGTACGATGCCAAATCGTAGCTTGCGCTCTGATTTTGTCGCCCGTGGCGGCTGGCGCAGGAGCTGGTTGCAGTGCTCACCCATGCACTGATTTTGAAACCACCCCAAAAAATTTATTTTCTGCATATAAATGTACCATCGCTAGTGGGTTAAGATATCAGCTGGAGGGAATGGGTTAAAAGTTTAAAGGTTTAAAAATCACTAAAGAGTGGGAGAGTGAAGCGGCTGTACAAGCACTATGGCA